TTCCAACACATACCCTTAGACATAGGTATACTTAAGTGAGAGATCCTCCAGGGCAGGGACCCCTTTTAATTCATCTCTCTCCTGTCAGTGCCCATCTGGAAGAAGGTGATTAATGACTTTGTCTTATGATTGACTGAAAATTTTAAAGGGCTCTATGACAGTTAGAAAGATTAAACAGATGCTGAAGTTAGTTTCTGCCTCTGGTCATGAGATAGTGATGGTTTTGGAGTAGGTTCATTCATTCAGCAAGTATTTGTTAAGGACCGATTATGTGCTAGGCGCTGTGCTGGGATTGTCTCGTTGATGATTTTTTGTTTTTATTAAGCAAAACTGACAGTTGGGGGAAAAATGTGAAAATATTTTAATTTACTCCTTCCTTCCTCTTCCTCTGCCTGCCTGTCAACCCTCCAGCTCCCCAACCACCAAAGTAAATTATCTAAATTTTCATATTCTAGCTTCTAGAGAGGATAGAACACTAGAGAAATGAAATGTTAGTTCCAGCCCCAGCTTTGCCAAGAGCTAGCTGTATGGCATGGAGTTAAATCTCCAGGCCTCAGTTTTCTTAACTTTTAATATTCATTCAACAGATATTTGTTGAGCATTCTTCATGTGCTAGGCATTATTCTAGGAACTAAGGATATAGTAATTAACAAAATAGATACCAGTTCTTAGAACTTGGAGGCAAACAAAACATGAAGCTTACATTCTAGTAGCTGATTCAAGGACCTTTCCAACTAACATTCTTTCTTATAGATCATATTCTATGATTTGTAGATCTGTTGGTGACTTTGCTGTGTACCCTTAGTGTTTTCTAATTTCAGTTGTCTTCACTAGATGTTCTGTTTTCTTCTTGACAGTAAGAAGTAAAACGAGTGAGAACGATCTTGTGATTTTTGCTTATGGTGGTAGATTACAAAAAAGATACTAATACTTTTTAAACTTTTCCAATTGCCTATTTCTTCCTCAAGCTTAATAATAACAATAATACTGTTAGCTTCTCTTTGGGAGTTACTCTATGCCAGGAATTGTACTTCACTTAATCTAACACTCCATTTTGCAAATGGGGGAAGTAATTTACATAAACCAGTAAGTGGTAAATCTAAAATTTGAACCAAGGTCTGTAGGACTTCAGGAGCTATTTCACTGTACTTCTCTGTGTACTAGATGCTTGGCATATCCAGTGCTCCCTTGAATTTTTGATTCTCTTTTTCAGTATATGCCCTGTTGTCCTAATTAGGTAGTAAACTTCTTGAGGATAGAAGCCATATCTTTTGCTTGAGTCTCCAGTGCCTTTCATGGTATCTTAACAATACAGTTGTTTGTGTGCAAGTAGAGCTCTTGATGATGATAAAGGTTTTATTTTATTGAACTATGGCATGATATGAGTTTTTAAAATAATCTTCCAGCAGCTTTATGCTGAACTTTTGTTTTAATTAGCAAGGATTCTTTTTTTAATAATGAAAAAGCCGTTAGAATGGGACTTAATTTTAAAAATCTTAGTATATGGTCTGAAACAATACTATAAGAATACATTTCCTTTTAACCCTTTTTTAATTCTTTTTTTTTTTTTTGTGAGGAAGATCAACCCTGAGCTAACATCCATGCCAATCCTCCTCTAAAATTTTGCCGAGGAAGACTGGCCCTGGGCTAACATCTGTGCCTATCTTCCTCCACTTTATATGGGACACCACCACAGCATGGCGTGACAAGTGGTGCCTCGGTGCGCGCCCGGGCAGCCAACAGCGGAGCGTGGGCACTTAAGTGCTACGCCATGGGGCCGGCCCCAACCCTTTTTTTAAATTGCAAGAGTGATATAACTGCATTACAGAAAATTTGGAAATTGGAGGAAAAATGTCCCATAATTTCACAGTTTCTGGTGTTTATTTTCAATTTCATTAAAAAAAAAGTACACAATGTGTGTTAATAAATGTTTTTCACCTTAGTGATCTGGTTTAACAATTATGACAGTAAATATAGGGTGGAGTATGAAAATTACAACATGTTCTCAGAAGCAGAAAAGGATTATTTATTCAGCATGACATTTTACTTCCTATTATGTGAAAGGCACAATAATGATATATATATTTTTGCCTGCAATTACGTTCCGGTATACTCAGGAAATCCGTGCTTCCTTGAGCCATATCTAACCATTCTCAAAAATGGCTTGGAATGTTCTACATTCGGGAGGAGTTGTCACAGTTAAAATTAATTAGGAACAGTTGGGTTTGTCCAATAGAAGATCTCCTAGGAATAACCTAAGAGTGTATTCCTTTGTTTTCACTCTGTTTGCAGACACAGTGATAGTAACAGACTAACATGTAGTAGAAAAAGATTGAGCCTCTTTATTTAGCGATCAATCATAGTTCTAATCTGCGCTGTCACTAATAGTCTGGTTTAAGGGCTCAATCTAAGGTGTTTTACTTACTCTTCAAGGAATTAATAAACACAGTTTATACGATTCTTTGTTTTGTGAGTTTTGGACTTAATAAAATTGGAACTCTGGCAACCAAAGGCAGGAAAATGGCTTGAGAGAGAGAGAGAGAGAAAGAGCCAGCGAGTGAGAGAGAGATATAGATAGATAGATAGGGGCCGGCCCCGTGGCTTAGGTTAAGTGCGCGTGCTCCGCTGCTGGCGGCCCGGGTTCGGATCCTGGGCATGCACCGCCGCACTGCTTCTCTGGCCGTGCTGAGGCCGTGTCCCACATACAGCAACTAGAAGGATGCGCAACTATGACATACAACTATCTACTGGGGCTTTGGGGGAAAAAATAAATAAATAAAAAATTGTTTAGATAGATAGATATCTGGTTACTTGGAGAATTGATAGAAATAAATGAAAAGTTAATCCAGGCAGAGTTCATTAGGCAAATCCATACACTGGAAT